TCTTTAAATATTCCGAATACTCTCGCAGGAAGAGAAAAAATGACGAGAAATGAAGGGGAACGGCTGGTTTCGCCAAATTTAACACATTTATTTTCATAAATGTCGAGTCGAATTTTTTCTCTCGTATTCTTTCGACCTCGATTTTCAATTTCAATTCAATCTTGAACTTTTTTTTTTATATTTTCTACAGTCTAAATTATTTTTTTTTATACTGAATTTAATTTTCAGGTCATTTATTTATTGTTTATTTATTAAATATATAAAATAGGAGAGTGGAATTTTTATATACAAGGTGTTTCAGGAATGATCATTTTAAACAAAAGTTTATATAAATATGTGTTTTATCCTGTATATGATTATAAAAAGATACAGCGTGTTTAATTTTAAGACTGAATACATTGATTAACTAATTGTTAGTAGAATATTCTAGGAAATAATTACATTAAATGTTAAATTTACAATAAATTTGAATAATTAATAATTTTGGCATTTTAATTACACCAATAATCAAAAATGTCAAACTAATGCACGACATATCAAACATAAACTAATGTTTACATTCGTAACCATAACAGGAGAAATTTTAAAAATTTAATGAAATTATCTTTGTAATGTAATTCATTACTGAATTTTACTAACAATAAATTAATAAATGTTTGTTTTTAAAATCGAACACGCTGTATTTTTATACATATAATTGTCCAAAATGAATACATGATTGTACAAACATTTTTGTTTAAAATAATGTGTACAATGATGTCATGAAATGCTGAATATTGCTTTTGAAACATTGTGTATATGTAAACCCAGATAGCCACAGTAATTATTATGACATCATTTTGATGTCAAAATGATGCATTTTGATGGCATAATAATTACTGTGGCTATCTGGGTATATTAATGTTTCCTTCTATAATTAGTTGTAGAAAGATTTGTTGAAAAAAAGACAGGTTGTAAGGTTTCTTTATGAAAATTGCATTGTAACACCACTTGTTTTATATTATTAATGTAAGAAGATGTCCTTTTTTTCATTAACCACCCCAGCAAACACCGATATATAATTGTTACATTGCTATAATAAAACGGAATATAACAGGTAATATAACGTGTATGTTACATGTAACATCCATGTTAGTTGTAATTTCCCACTCATAGATGTAACATTTTAATATAACATATATTACATTGTAATTATATTGTAATTATATACCAATTAGCACATTGATGTATTGATAAGTCAGTGCTATCTTGGGATATAATGACAATATAACTACAATGTAATATATGTAATATTAAAAATGTTACATCTGTGAGTGGGAAATCACAACTAACATATACGTTACATGTAACATGCTTGAGTATATAACATTTATATATTGTGTATTGCTGGAACTTAAATTTATTGCTATGAATCGTATGTAACTTTTTATGATATCTTTGGAAGGAAACTATGTGATGATAATTTTTATCCCAAATAAATATAGGAATTATGCTAGAAAGTGATTGTGCGAGGGTAAAGATTTTTTTTGTATAACTTGTCAATCTGTCTGTGTAGATCAAAAATCTCGATATTCAATATACTATTCTTGAAATGTGTTATTTCATTACACTGAAGAATGCTGTGTACAGCCGAAACGTTTGTGATTTTATTCGATTGTTATTATATTACAAGAATATATATGTCAAATATGGTGTATTTTAATTATAAGTTTTATTAAGATCAATTAAATAATTTTGATTATGTAGTTAATTATTTCTTTCTTTTTATATGATCTTTTAAATTAATAAAAATTAAGTTATTTTAATTTTAATGCTCATCAGTTGGCCTGGTGTTATACACGTTTGAATATTTATTTTGATACGAACGATTATAATTTTTAAAAGTTTAGTTGTCAGTTTATGTTTACATTTTTTAGTTAGTTCTTAAAAACACGCTGGCCTTATAATGCGTCAAGGTAAATTCAAATATTACAATTTTAATTTCAATTTTATACAGAAAACCTTCGGTTATAATACTGTTCATTTACTGAGATATTGGATTGGTGCAAATTATTTGTTAATTAAAGCTAAATCTAAGTTAACCCAGATAGCCACAGTAATTATTATGACATCATAAATGATGTCATAATAATTACTGTGGCTATCCGGGAATTAAACTCGAAATCTCCCATACACGATCTCCAGAAACGTGAGAAAATTGAGGCTGAAAATAGAAGAGGCAAAATTTCTCCGCTTGAGTGTCTGTCAAATTTGCAAAATTGCGCATCGCGCCCCGGCCGCCATTGCAATTAAATTACTCGCGACGATCGCGCATATATGTATACGTGCACATATCTATATACATACATACATATATCTAATCGTTGAAAAATTGATGCTGAATCTTTGACGATTTGTCCCGGGTATTAATGTGTAAAACTGTTCCGCTAATTACTTAACCTTGTACCTTATATTCGCTCCACACTGAAAAAATCCAACGACTTTTACATGGAAAATTATACCTGTTCAAAACTATATAGAAATATTACTTAATTATCACTGTCATTTTTTCAAGGGAAAATACATAGAGTTAAAATTTCATGTAAAAAAATCACTTATGTAATTTAAAATTTAATATCATCTTGTTTTATCAGAACTTTATTTTATAAACATTTCGTATATAATTCCATGTTCAATGGAATATTTTTAATCTTGAAAAAAATATATATATATACTCTGAAAATTGCCTCGAAAAATTTTTTCCTCCTCGATTCCTCCACTTGAGAAAAATCAGGTAAAATCGGGCGAAATGCGAAGCAATCCTACGCAGTGTAAAAAAAAAAAAAACCCCGAAAAGCGTTGGGGGATGCTGCGGGCTCACGATTTACTGGGATGACAAAAATGTCCAGAAATTCGCGAGAGATCGCATGCCTAAGATGGCAAACACAGAAGAATGAGAGAGGAAATATCAGTGAGAGCTAAAGTCGGGCGGACACGGGAACGCGACATAGATACCGGGCCGTTTGGTTACCACTCAGCCGACATCACGGGTAGGTATAGCATCGCGGCGGATTAACGAAGCGAAAGAGAGGGAGAAGGAAGAAAGACAGAACGAGGACCGGGAGAGAAAGAGAGAAGGACGATGCGAGAACAAAGGCACGACGAAGGGTGGCAGCTAGAAGAAGGATAGGGGAGAGAAAGAGAGAGAACCCCGCTGATGGAAGGGGAAGGATAGAGAAGGGGTAGGCATACGCAAATCGATTAGGTGCGCGCGCGGTCGGCCATTTTGTTGCCGGCAAATCGGGGGGTTCGCAGAGGCGTGGATGCTGGACGGAGTCGACTCCCGATCGGGAGCGACGAATCCGAGGCTCGCTCGTGCGTCGTTTTCTCGCGTTCGATAGGACGACGAAGGATGATGGAGGGAGGGAGAAGATTAAGAGGGGGATGATTGTGTCGAGGAAGAGGAGGGGTGGTAAGGCGAGTGAGTGGGAGGGAGAGCGGGAAGAAGTGGAGGGGGATGGAGCGGACGGTTAGGTTGGGTCTGGGCTCCTCCAGCAGACTATAGCGAGACACCTAACTGGCAGTCAGTGGCTCCCGGGGCCCTGTGTCGTCAGTCTCGTCGGGGTAGTTTCGTGCAACCTCTTCGTGGGTCTCTCCTCCTCCTCTTTCTCTCTCTCTTTCTCTCTCCCCTGTCTTTCTCTCTCTCTCTCTTTCTTTCTCTCCCCGCGCCAATCCTTTCTATTTCTCTCTTTCCATGAACCAACCTCTTTCTCTCTCTCTTTCCTCTACCCCTTCCCTCCCTCCTCTTCCCCTTGGGCCTGTTCCGCGGTCTCTTTCTACCTTTCTTGTCCGTTTTCTACCGGAATAGTTGTTTCTTTTGCTTGCCCTTGCCGTTGTCTGTTGTGTGCGAAGCATTCGTGGATCCCAACTAGTGAATTCTCTTCGCCTCCAGTGAGTGATAAGAGCCAGGAAATCGTGCCGCGATTTCTCGGACTCGCGCGAATGGACCGGTTGGCAACTTCGGACCCAGCTCCTTCTCGTAAGAGGAATCAGCAGCCGTCAGGAATACAAGGAATACCATCAAAGCCTCACTTATCTAGGGAATAATCGCGAGAAACCGCTCGCGAGATAAGCCGAACGGGTGTGGTATATCATCGCGAAACAGAGAGAGAGAGAGAGAGAGAAAGAGAGAGGAAACCGCGTGATAATTAGAGGAAAAAACAGTGCGGAAGAGAAAACAACCGCGGAAGTGTCCGGAGTGTGAATCGAGAGTGAACCATCGTCGATTGAGTGTGGCGCAAGTTGAACCAGAATTGGAATCGAGTTGGATCCGCGAGAAGGCCGAAGAAAAACCTCCGATATTGTCGGAACAGAATCCGTACCCGATTCGGAAATGAGTTTAATTTTATACTCGAGATTTGTTAAAATTTGTAGTTGTTCAGTCAGAAATTGACAATCCCAAGTCGCGAATCCCAAAATGTACAGGAATCCAGGAAAGGATCTGTTGGACTAAATTAATCTCCGAAGAAGAAAGTGTCCAATTCGCGTGAGAATTCAGTTTTTGATGAGGCGAAGACAATGTGAAAATAAGGTGAACACAAAGAAAAACAATGAGAATTCCATAACGTACAGGTATCCATCCAGCAGAGGACTCCTAAACGTCCTAAATAACTTTCTGAAGAAAGTTATCTATTTTCGAGTGAAAACTTAGCTAAAGACATGCGAATTCCACAATATACAGGTATCCAAAGAAGAACATCTAAAAACTGACCGTTCTTATGAAAATTCAGTTCGACACAAAGCGAACAAAGGTGAAGATACGGTGAAGATAAAAATGGGAACACCACAAAATACAAGAAAGGTCACGTTAAGAGCTGAATAATTCTCTGAAAAAAAGTTGTCCATTTCGGAACAACGTGAACTCTGCTGTTTCCAAACATATATACGTAATCTTCCGTATTCGGAGACCGATTTGATTTCCTCGGTGGATTTCGGGAAAGGAACGGTAGGGAACGGTAGGGGGCAAACGCCGTGGAAGTTTCGCGAATTTAAAGGATACGGCCGGCACGAAAGGCTTCAAGATTGCTCGAAAACCGTCGCGCGACGTGCGCAGGAGTGGCAGAGCTGCGGAAATAGGGGGTGCCGGCGTAATGCAGCGGGTGGGCGCAGCCGGGGGGCCCGGGCCCATCGGCTTCCAGGGCCCTCCGAGATCACTGAAAATCTCACCGGTCAACATACAGGACGAATCCGCCGACCCCACGCAGAGTGAGTAGCTCGGATTGTTTTCTTTGTCCTTTCTTCACTTGTTTGGGACGCAAAAGGCACAATAAGTCGAAAGTTGACACCAAAATGCGAATTTTCACAAAACTCATGTGGCATTCGAGTGTCCGTAGTATAATCGTTCGTCTTCCGAAAAAAATTGAAAATGAAAAAAAATTTGATTAAATAATTTATCAATTTTATTTGGCCATAAAATAATTGTCTGTTCTCCACTTAGCAAATAAAAATAGAGAAGCATCTCTATAAGTGCGATTTATTTAAAAATTATAAATGGGGGTGCATCTAGGGGTGATAAAATTTATTCAAATTCTTTTTTCATAATGGACAAAAAACGATTACTTATCTAATATGGACAAATGTGGACAATCGAATGCTATGTACATTTTATAAAAATTCGGGGTGCCAACTTCTCAGACCTCGATAAGTGAGAAGAGAAAAAAGCTTCGCAATGATGTTACCTATTCAACCGCTTTTTCACGGACAGAACTTTTGAATTACTCAAATAATCTTACCTGATGCGTGTTATGGATGTACGAATGTTTATAAATAAATATTACAATAGCGTATCTTGCTTCAACGTTATTTATAACGTAACTTTAATAAGAGCGCCAGAGATAAATTTTATTGTCAAGATGACACATTCACTTATATTGAGAAGAGAATATATAGTCTCTTCATTCAGGCTTTTCAAGTATATTAGAATCAGACTGTGAAATATATATCTAATTTTTCACGAAATTTTCACGTGCAATAAAAATCTTATCTTTATTTTCTCTCCGCTCGGAAGATAAATTTACGTGATCAGAATCAGCAAAATTGTGATACTATAGAATAAATATGTGACTGTGATATTTTTTCAAGTAATCGCTTCTCAAATGAAGACATGTGCTTATTAAATAAGAATAATTGATATAAAAAAGCAGATGTAAAAAAATACAAAAGAAGAAATAAAAAAAGAAGGTGAAAGATGAAATCAAAAAGAAGATATCTCACATATACATACACACATTTTTATTCTCTCATCGCAATTTTGACTCCATGTATTACGGCTAATTTTTCCTCCATCAAAACCGATTTTTTATTCAACAACGAACTATGGTTTTCCATCAATTAACGGCGATTTGCAATTCATTAAATCGTCGCTGATCCAATCAATGCTTAAAAAATCCGTCCACCTGATAATTAATTTTATTGCCACTTGATTGCGCGCGCGTTAGATTGTTTAAATAATTATATTCGCCATATTCTCTTTGCCGCAGAGTCATTAAATCAAAGGACAGAGTTACATTAAGCATCACGTGTAATATGTAATGCGTCCATCAAAAACGAATGCCGTCAAATGAAAATAATCGAGGGGGTCCACTTCGAATTCTATTTTTCTGCATAAAATTCTCTATAATATTCCATAATATATTCTACTTTGGTTTATACCCGCGGAATTGACGATGAGAATTTTAACGAATCAATCTCGATCAACTTTAAATTATACAGACCAAGAAAAATAAAAGCTATAAGTTTGATTTCACAATTTATTTTCGTCGGAATAAATTGACCGTCGTTTGTACTCCGGTTTTTACTTCTTCAGAGTACTTTCTAATATTGATATAATTATCGCAGAGTGATATAAATTAATCATTTCAAGTGTCTCAATGTAATATAACATGTAACACACTTTTATAAATACATGTATCTGTTAATTGTAAATCTCAGATCTGAAATCGCAAAATGAAATAAAGGAACCGTCGGCGAAAATTTTTCGCAAGTTCCGTGTGTAATGAAAATTTTATATCCGAAGAAAAATTGTACTAATCAAGCGTGTGCTTATATAACGTAGAGTTTAAATGAATTACGGGACTTGTATTAAGTTAACTTATTCGCTTTGTAATTACTCGACAGATATCGTATTCTTGATATCTAATCGTCGAAAGTAAATAAAATCTTTTGCGGCACTTAAAATCGTAGCAACGATCGAGAATCGCGGATATTTTCTTCGAACAATTTGTGCATACATCTCCATTATCGCTATAAAAATGTTATAAAATCAACAATTTCTCACTCACCAATACGAGCAAAAGCGGAGTTGTAGTTCACAGCTCATTGATCTGAAAACAAAATATTCAAATTATTGCGTCCTATAAAGAGATATAAACAAATATAACAAAAATTAAATGTTTCTTAAAAGAAATGTTATTGTTATTTATGTGTGTAAACTTTTATAAAATATAATAACTACAAAAAAATTTCTCATGTATATAAATGTAAATATCTTACATAAAATCTTAAATATAAAAGAAATATAAATTTTAATTATTTATTAATATTATTTGTCAAATATTTATTAATGAATAATTATGTATAAAATAATTTACATAATCTATTCTAAAAAGTTTTATATATAAAAATCTCAATTATAGAATATTTTATTAAACATTTAAAGCAAGGATTTTAAAATAAAATTTCTAAAAGATTTTATATGAATAAAAATAATACATACCTATAACACAAAAAATCAATTTTACTGAGATGGATCAAATCATTTTCTCAATAGCGAATTAATAAATTGAGTATGTTATAAATTATATTTTTCATACCTTACAGTTGCTCCGCTGTCGCCCGATGCCTCTCTTCCGGCTCTCCTTCTACTCCTCCTCCTCTCATTGTTCCTTCGTAGCACTCGCGACACGAAACACGAATAATTACGATCGCCCGATACTTTAGACGGCACTCCCGACACGCGGAACTTTCCCAGCAAGCATGTCATTTTAACGTCGAATGACGTCATTAAATGTCAAATGACATTAGAAGTCAATGGCGTCATTAGAAGTCAATGACGTCATTTTGCTACTTGGATTTTCACGGCACTCCCGACACGACGCGTGAATCGCACTGTGTATCGCAATGCTCCCTGCTGTAACAAACAAAATACATAGATATACTAGAATAATCTTATATATTTCGCATTATAACAATATAAATATGTAAGCTAGAATTAATGATGGATCGCAACCATTCGCGCGCGCGCGAAAACAGAGTAGGGTTATGTTGATATCGTTGACGAGAAATTTTGCATCGAATTTCTCGAGAAATATGCGTTTCGAACAATTACGATTACATATGAACGTTGAAATTATAATATGCGATTGATAAATATTACAATACGAAGGTTAAAAACAATTATACTTACTAATTAATCACAGAGAGACGCAGTTCGAACTGCCTAGTACTCGCGGCGTTTCGGTAATGAGTGAAGTTAGTCGCTATTCTACTAATATCGGCAACTTCATTCTAATAGCGCGCGTAATATTTAAAATATTAAAATATTAATAATTAATTAAAACTCGAGATTTGTTCGAAAAGTTGAAGCTTTAAAATAAGTATAATTTCTAAAAATTAACGTCTTATCTCAATGGCTATAAATATAAATATCCGGTTCTTTATTTTAGTTTAGTTAATTTTTTTGTTTTAAGAAGGCAGAACTCTTTTTAGAACTCGTGCAGGATAAATTTTTTAATGCTATAAATTTTTTAATGCTGATAATTACTGATAAGGAAAATATTCGTTGCTTTAATAATGGTTTTGTTTATATAAACTATCAAGAACTCTAGAACTATAAACTTGAAAATGAAGCCAGAACTCTTAATTATTTATGACTCTTCACGAAATGAGAAGTCAGCTTCAAACACCCGAAACAATTTAGACTTAATTAAGTGAATTTATAAACTTGAACTGCTATTTATTTTGCGGAAAACGCTTTTTCTCGTACTTAGAAATATTGAACCGTAAAATTAAACTGAAGCAGAACAGAGATTTGATAGATGAGAGTTACAGCGTTATAATTTTAAACTTTACTCGAGAACGCTAAAATTATCCAAGGACCTTTAAATTCAAACAATCTGCGATTTATGCGATTTGTTTGGCTCTTGCATTTAGTAAAACCGCATATTATATATATAACTGTAACACATTTTATATATATCCATGTGTCAGAGTGTCTTGACACTCGGAAGGTAAATTTCATTCTTCGCAAATTTCTTATTTTCAATGTCGCAAAATCACTGCTATATATGATTTCTTATAAGTTCTTTAATTATATTAATAATTTAATATTGCATGTCTTTTAATTTTCACGATTTAAAAATTATAAAATCAAAAATTATAAATATTGCACAAAATTGTGAAAATTATCCGAAAAATAACAATAACATACAAAAATAAGTTCTCATAAAAGGTAGTGACAGCACAAATCATATTTCTTTAGAATATCATCGATTCGCGATTTTTTCATGTTGGACGTAAAATAATGAATATGAAAATTATAAAATAAAAAATTATAAATTATTATGCAAATTTATTGTAAAAATTATCCGAAAAATAACAATAATACAAAAATAAATTCTCATAAAAAGCAGTGACATCACGATTCTTATTTCTTCAATATATTATCGATTCGCGAGTTTTTATTTTATGATATATATGTATACATATATATATATATATATATATATATATATATTGTATCGTGTTATCGTCTTTGAACGTCTGTCCTGACCGCAGTGCAGTTGACGATGCAACTCGATGCAGAAGTCGGTGCTCGCAAGCTCATTTATTATTAACTCGAGTTATCGCATTTTCATAATTGGATACATGGAATATTCAACGATGCGAAACGATTCGCCGATGATTTTCTGTAATTAAATGTTACAGTATTGCGTTTAACACGTGTTTTTCGCGCGCGCGTGCGAGAGCCGACGAGAGATGGCAATTATCATGGGGCGACATTAATATCTGCCGTATTTATCGCTCATAATTATTGCGACGCTATATTATTCGCGAGTAAGAATGGCGAATGTGCGCGTGCATCACGATGGGATCGCGGTCTTTAATTTAACGCTCGCGATTAATTTGATAACGTTCGATGAGAGACGAACTATGAATAATTAAGGAGACGACTACACGAGAACAAAGAATAATTAAATTCATGGAAT